TGTTGTTGATGATGATGATCTTCCCGAGTTATAGGGTATATCAATGTTATTGGTCACCATGCTGTGGTTGGTCTTAAATGCCAAGACATGAAATACAAGGTGATCAGAAAATGACAACTTGTCATATTACGTGTTACAGGTGCTCTGCTTAAGAGTTGAGACCAATTCAAAAGCTGTGTACTGACCTGGAGTCTACACTTTTTGTTTCACTTTTCAGGCCGGGGATAGGTGCTTTCTTCACATTGGTAATAACAATGAGACCAGAGAGTTCTGTTCGATCCACAGATCATCAAAGTCCACCGATGCTGAAATATATGGCAAGAACCCATTATTAGATTGTTCTCACCAATGAACTGTTCCACAAAGAGACTGTAAGAACACACTTCATAAAGACTAGAGATTTTGCTCATATCGGTCAATAACCAGCATCGGTGGACTTTGATGATCTGTGGATCGAACAGAACTCTCTGGTCTCATTGTTATTACCAATGTGAAGAAAGCACCTATCCCCGGCCTGAAAAGTGAAACAAAAACTGTAGACTCCAGGTCAGTACACAGCTTTTGAATTGGTCTCAACTCTTAAGCAGAGCACCCGTAAACACGGAATATGACAAGTTGTCATTTTCTGATCACCTTGTATTTCATGTCTTGGCATTTAAGACCAACCACAGCATGGTGACCAATAACGTTGATATACCCTATAACTCGGGAAGATCATCATCATCAACAACAAGTAACAACAATAACGTTGTTATACCCTATAACTCGGGAAGATCATCATCATCAACAACAACACCACCACTGGCTGACAAAAATCAAGGCATATACACACACGCCAGAACAACGTTAAAAAATTGAGAGGAAACACCTATTAGAGAGTATTTTCTCAATTTCTGGTTTAGCTGGTTTAGCGACTGGTTTAGTGATTTTCGGTTTATATTTTTTAATCTTTTTCGTTTTCCCGCTTTTTGTTTTGGTTTGTATATGAACTTTGTTCTGTTTCATTTTTTCCGTTAAGGATGAATATGAGAAAATTCCCACAACTCTCTCTCAATTCTCAATGTTCGTCTTTGTTCTTCATTTCTGAATCTCGATTTCTTCAGTTTGATAACACCATATACAACCGGTCAGAAGAGCAAAACCGGCCTACGTCATAAGGACGCAAGAATCCCCCAATTCTGTGTTCCCAAAGATGTGGCTAGAAGGATATAGTTTGCATCCATCGCCCAGCTTTGCCGAAGAACCAATAGTACAAAACGGACCAACCGAAGCATCCCTTTTGCTGTTTAATGGGTCGGGTTTGCTGTTTGTATGATACTCAAGAAGATAAAGGAACAGACTCATCCGCCAAGTTTCGGAAATCACGGCGGCTGTCGGGACCAAGAGAAGAGTTTTACTTGGTGTCAGATGGGACCAATGCATAATCGACCCCATAAGAGCGTGAACCGAAGGATAAGCAGATCAAAACCAACGCAACAGGAAGACCGGTTTGTCTCTGTTAGTTAAATCTCCTCTTACACATTGAAAGACAAAAATATGGAAATTAAAAGCTTATGATACTTTGTTTGGATATTAATGCAAACCAAAAAGAGCTGCAATTTTTATATATATATATATATATATATTACATCCATTGGGCCTTTTAAGTAGACTTATTTGGGCATTGATTCTACACTCCATAGGACATTACAAAAAACAATTGCATGATATTTAGTTTTATTTTACGTGAAAGAATCCTTTTGAAACGACAATTTAATTTGCATAAATTTTGATGGTTTTATTAATACAAAGCCATTATTTGTAATTCACGATTCAAACCCTATGTGTGATGATGTTTTCTACAGCAAGAAGTTGACTTCCTTTAAGTCACCAAAAAGAAGACATGATGAAGTGATCAGATCCATTGCAATTGTCCCTTACCAGAAAGGAACACACTCTTACTCGCTGAATTCAAATCAAATGCATGTCTAGCACAATTTTATCACACCAATATCATAAAATAAGAAAACAAAGCTAAGAATAGCAATAGGATGGAACAATTTTGAAGTAGCCCATATGATTAAACAGGAGACCATATGACAAGGAACAGATCTATTTCAGAAATGACAGCACAAATGTTTTCTTTTAATTTGGACCAAACGATGAAAGACAGAACAGACGTTACCTTTAAAATTCAGCTTCATCATGAGACAAAGATGAGAAAGTGATCAGTAGAATGATTGATGCAACCAGAGTAGGCCAGAAAAAACAACCCACCTCCTATTCAGATGATTGCCACCACAGGAACCAAAGTCCGTTATCAAAGAGAACCCAAAAACTCTTTGTCCAACCTACCATCACATAGCATATCTACCACAATCTTTGTCGTTGACGCATCTGCAGAGAACCCGCATCTCTTCTTTTCTTTTATAAGTTCGATACCCTTTAACGTGTATCCGTGATTTAGATAACCCTGGATCAATGTGTTGTATGTACGATCATTCGGCAAACAACCAGTCTCTTTCATCACACTAAATAACTTCTCGGCTTCACCAAATAAACCCCTCCGACAGAGTCCCGAAATCATTGTAGTATATGTTATCACATTTGGTTCCACCCCTTTATCCGAAAGCAGATTAAACAACTGCAATGCCTCATCAATCTTTTTCGCCTTGCACATGCCATGAATGATAATATTGTGTACAGCTATATCAAGGCTCATCCCATCCTTTTCCATCTTGTCATATAATTCCAATGCACAATTCCAATGCTTCATCCAGTTTTCCATTTTTACATAGTCCATCAAGCAAAATATTGTGAGTTATTAGATCAGGATATGGACTACGACGCTGCATCTCGAAGAAAAGTGTCTGGGCAGCATCAATGTTGCCTGCCTGGCAAAATCCTTGAATGAGAGAGTTGTAAATTCTGTTATTAGCAGTCACCCCTCTTCGAGACATCTCACTAAAGAGCTCGAGACCCTTATCAACCCTACCAGACTTGCAGTATCCATTTATGAGAGCACCAAATGTCACTACATTTGGAAAACATCCCTTGGTAACCATAGAATCAAACACTTGTCTTGCTTGATCAAGACGATTCTGCATGCAAAACCCATCAATAAGAGAACTATAAGTGACCGTATTCGGTACCAAACCTCTCTGGAGCATCTGTTCGTACAGTTCTTTAGACTCTAGAAACATCCCCTCTTTAATGAATTTATCGATTAATCCGGAGAAAGTAACGACATCGGGCATGATTTTTCTTCTCATCATATCCTTGAGTAATCGCGAGGCATCGTTCCATCTGCCTAAACTACACATGCCATTAACCAAAGTGTTATAGGTAATGACATCTGATAAAACTCCTCGATCATCCATCTTACTAAAGACGTTCAACGCATTGTCGATGTTCCCAGATTTGCAAAGACAATCGATAATCGTATTATATGTTACGACAGTGACCACCATGCACCTTTCCTCCATCTTCTTGATCAAATCCAGAGCTAAAGCAGAATCCCCTACCTTGCAAATGCCGTTCAAAATGGTGTTATATGTACGACTATCGGGGTGACAGCCTTTCTCTACCATCCGCTCAGTCAAAGTTACTGCCTCATGAATTCTACCCTTGAGACAAAATCCGTTGACGACAGTGTTAAATGTTACGACATTAGGTTGAAGTCCCGCATCCACCATTCGCTCCATCATGTCTAATGCTGCGGAAACTTCACCGAGGATGCAGAACCCATTGATCAGGGTGTTGAATGTAACAGCACTAGGCTCGTAACCCAACTTTATGATCTTTCCAAAAACCGAAAATCCTAAGACCGCTTGACGTGAGCGACAAAAAGAATTGATCAGAATATTGAAAGTGTAGAGATCATGTGAAATCCCGACCAATTCCATTGATTTGCAAAGCGAAATCACAACATCATACCGTTTCATCTTGGCGATGGCACTCAACAACATATTGAAATCGATAATTGAAGGGAGGGGGCGAGACCGAACCATCTGATGGAACAAAGCAACAGCTTCGTGGACATTACTGTCAGCAAACCCACATCTCAATCTCTCTCTGAACGACATATCGCTGTCTCTAACACCAGAATAAGCCAATCTCCGACAACATAAAGCAGAGGAACAGCGTAAGACTGTGTCGGGAATACCTCTGTGAGAGAGAGGAGTACGAATGAAACATGATGCAGAAGAAGAAAATGCAACGGCAGCCACTCTCCCCATCGGCGACATCGTGAAGCTGAGGAACGAACAGAGAGAAACCTAGAACAGATTTGAGGAAAGAAGAAGTCTGTTAGTGTGCCGAAATACATGAAATGGCAAAATCTGCTTTGCTTCTGATACGAACCCTAGAACGAACGGCGAGAAGAAGTAAGCCCAAACCGTTTGGAGCTAAAGGCCGAAGGAAATGGGCCGGAGGATATATTTACAAAACATGTATACGTATATATCAGTGTATTTTTGTCAAGTATATATATATATACCTGTGTTAGGACATTAATGGTGAAGGATGTTGAAAGCTTCGACGATGCAAATCACGGAGTCTTCTTGTAATCCGAAATATTATATTTTCTAATTTTCTCCTCATTATTTTAAATTGTAAAAATATTCCTTATTTTTTTATCACAGAGACAAAATTTAGTTATTAAAATACAACTAAAAAAATATAGAATTATTTTCCAATTTATGTTATACTATTATATAACTGTTTTTTTTATTGAACTTGCTACTTAGTATTTAACAAACTGGATATTTTCTATAGCATGGAAATTATGCATTTCTAACATGTAAAAATTATGAGTTTAAAATTCGATGATATATTTATAGATGAAAATTCTTATTTTCTAATTATTATCTCGTTTTTTTTAATGAATTATAGTTTATGTCAGGTTGACAGGTTTTATAAGCAACATTATAGTTATTCCAAAAAAAATCATTTGGGTAATTAATGAAAATTTTATATACTATTCTATCTATGGATATCTGAATATTTGAATTAACAGCTAACAATAAAATTCATTCGAGAACTTACAATCCAAACTATTCGGTTCCAAAATCTTATACTCTCAATTTTTCGAATATCCGACCCGAGAATTTGATACAATATTTACTAAATTATGTGATGATGTTGAGAAACAAATGAAATGATGCGTCATAATCGTGAAATGGACAACAATCGCACACAAAAGGAAATGGAGGTTAAGGTGGAAAAAATTGAAATATAATGATTGAAAAACATTACGTTAAGGCTTATTTATTTGGTGAGAGGGCCATTGCATGTAAAAGGAAACTAACGGTGCTTCATCCATTGGCTTTTAACCAAAGCAAATCATTGGTTCGGCAACATTATGCCACGTGTCACATAACCATCCACCCAACCACCAAAACAAATTAGTCGGATATTTTATTCCGACAAAAGAAGTAGACATGTCAAATTTTTATTTTTTTTTATTTTTTGTAGTGAGAAATTGACATGACTAAAACTACTTCAATTTTTTTATATATTAAGGCTACTAAGATATGGAATGGTGCATCTACGAATGAAATACCAAACGACGTAAAAGAATGGAGGAAAATACGTTAATTTATGAAACCTGACATACGGAATGTACTAACCATTGAATATAAACATCTAATCGGTTTGCTAAACATCGTTTCCCATTTTTAAAATATTATACGATACCCGTGTCGTTTCAAGAAAAAAGAATTAAGATAAATAGTAAACTATATGAATCCGATCATATATGATATTAAATATAATCAGTAATTGTGTTTGTCAAACTATATATTGTGAAGGAAGACAATTATGAAGTCGAATTTAATTTAGTAATGGTAAATAATAAGAATGAATGATGTGGGAGGTTTAATCCTAACAGCACAAATGGAAAACTTTTTTTTTTGGTAAAAAAAATGGAGAACTTAATTTCACTCGAATGGAAACAATGTAGGACACTTGATTTTTTTTTAAAAAAAGGCAATCTATCTTAGAGGAACATTAGTGAAGGACAAACAAAAATCCATGAAAGCCATGTTGTATCAAATTTGGGCCATTAAGACATATGAGACATTGGACACTTAGTGTTTTAATGGTCATTTTATTTCAATTTGGGAAACCACCAAACATAAACCTAGAGAGGCCAAGACCCTATATTCCTAGAACCCTAGATTCCTCCATAGACGTTTTTTTTTCTTTTTTTCTTTGTAATAATTTTATATTTTTTTAATAAAAGAAGGTTGAAAATTGTGATATATTTTAAAAGATGCTAGTATGTTTCCTTTTGGTTAAGGGCTCCACTCCTCTTAGCATCATCACATCTACTTTATAAAGCAAACAAAAATTTTAGATACCAATGGGATGATAATTTAGTTAATTCACATATCTTTCCCACAAGTGCATCATTGGCTCTTCACAAAGGGCTAAGAATTCCAACAACTACAAATAAAAAACCTAAAAACAAAACCCTAAAACTAATAATAAAGAAACTTGTCAATATTTGGTAACGGCATCATTAGCAAACCCCTAAAGCCGAGCTACGCGACTCTCTATCATTCTATTGAACTCCACACACGTGCATAAAAGTTTCATCTATATTTTGGATTTGAGTTAGTTTTGTGGATCGTTTGATATCATTTAATAAAAAGATTGAGGTAATGTGATAAAATGGAAATGATTAAAAGTGGAAAAAGAAAAGAAAACAGGGCATATATATATATATATATATATATATATATATATATATATATTTGTGTCTTTAGAGATTTTTATTTTGTATTCATGCGGTGTTAATAGTTCTTACTATTTAATGTTTCTCATGCATATTATATTATGGTTCAGTTATTATTCAGTGAACGTTTAATTTTTGAAATTATATTTATTTAATTTTGATTTGTTTTTGCTGTTTTGTTTCGGTAAAAATATCGTTTTCGATTCCAATTTTTTAATCGAAATCTAAAAATATGATATTTAATAAAATTTTAATTTGAAAATGCATGATTTTTTTTTTGTTAAAGAAAATGCATGATTTGATTTGATTCAATGTTATATTGTCCGAAGCGAAAGATATATTTCTAGTTATTTCCAATTAAAAAAAACAAAATTAAATAAATAATTATGCTTGGATTTAGTGGACATAATTGCGGGAGGAGCAGAAGAAATAACTTCAAATTTAGTTCAACTAATGGGTAAGGGATATAAATCCAACCTTTTTCAAACTTACGTTATTAAGCCAAATATTTTAAAATTTTACCTAATTTTTTTGTTAGCTAAATGTTCCCCCAAACAATTTTAAAAACTATTTAAATGCATATTTTATTTAAAACATTTAGAAGACCAACGAGCGTGGCTATTGCATTATGTAGAGAAAGGCATTCCATCATTTTCTACTTAATGAAATTAATCTTCGTTTTTATTTAAAAATCCAGTGATTATACCAATAGGATTATTTCGTGTAGTCTATCAGATTATTTGAAAATAATAAAATAATCTGATAAAATATTTCTTATGCAAATATAAATGTTTTGTTCGATCATAAAACAATAGTTTTGAACTCCATGACAGCATTTCAAACTAAGCAAATACGTTGTAAACAATATTATATATAAATATATACACATAATTAAAAAACGAAAGGGATAGAAAAGATTATGTATTGTAATTTTCATATCTTATTTTTCCTCCCCATTATATTGTCTGTGTTTTGGAACACAACAAAACACGCAAACACAAGCAATCGTAAAGTTGGAAAAGAGAGAAAGAAAAACATAGATTAGGTGAAACATCTTCTTCCACTAATACCCCATTTAAAATATTGTTTTTTTATTCAATTTAATTATTTATTTATTTTACATTTTATTTTATTTTATTGTGTCATCAACTCATATGTTGCCATTAAATTGGTCAAAAAGCTCAGGCAAATCTTATAGTCGATCATGAGATCATTACGGTCTATTATATTCACCTCTAGTTCTTTATCTCAATCATTTTAAAATCCTAATTTGCCATAAATAAAATATATATGTCCACGTTCCACACAAATGAAACTAAGTGTCATTGCACTACGTGAATTTGTAAGACACTTATACGTTGTATGCGATATTACAAAGGCAACGAAATCACGCATTGACTTTTTATATGAATATTTAGAAATTAAATATAATTATATATATAGTACTTTAACACATGGTGCTACTAAAATTAAGAGCATTGTTAAACATTGAGATTTGTTTTAAAAAAAATTGAGGAAAAAAACATTTATGTACTAGTTGAAGTGACATAAATAATATTTCTTCATCTCATTTATTTTTTTTATTAAACGTATAATGTATTTTATACTTTATATATGTTTAGTTTTTCAATTATAATCAAACTATTAATTTGGATTATATTTTTGTCATAATGTTCAGATATAATTTATCGCAACGCGATATTCGTTGTGTATATTTTCTTATAACATGATATGTTAATTGTTTATTGTTTTGTATATATATAAATAATTTTAAAAAAACAACCGATGGACCATTCATGTTTCTTTAGGAAGAGATAACAAAATAAAATTTTATTTTCACAATAATGGAGTCTAAGTGAACAGAGCTTTCTATGATTTGACCATACAAACAAACAAACAACCAACATGATGATTTCTTTTTAATTAGAAAGAAAAAAGCAGAAACAAGAAAATGAGAATAAATTGTACAAATTCCATACTGAATCTGGATTTGTTCCCCTCAAAAACCAAATCTTTGTTGATTTTTAATCATGTTTGGGAGCTGTCACATATGATTTGATGGGAAATTATTTATTATGATGGATTTGCTTGACTTGATATGATTATTATCCCTCCCTCGAAATATATTCGAATATTATATATGTGTGTGTAATGAACAAACTACTCGTAAATGATTAAGATGGAGTGTCCGAAAATAAAAAATTTCACTTAAAAATTAAGTGATTATTGTTTATATTGTGGAGTCGACGATAAAATTATCTTATATAGTAAAAACAAATTATTAATGCAAGTTTGGATTATTCAGTGGTAAGAAAATATGTGAAATATGTTTTTATCTCGAATTCAAATTCAAACGTGGAGAAGAATATTTATTCATATTTTTTTTATCTTTCAAAAAATATAATTGGATTAAAGGTATTCTCAACTTCTGAATTATCAACAAAAAAAATATATATTAAAGAAAGTAGTCATAAGGGAAACATGAATGGCAACCTTCGGATAATATTATCGGCTCCAGATTTAGATTGATAGGAAACGATTATAATGTTACTTGATATTATTAAGGCAACTTATATTCATGCATAAAAAACACACTAAAGATGAGAAGAATATGTGTTGATGTGGTGTCAATGTCATCATCATATATGTGTATGTGTATGGTATGTGTTTTGATAATATGCATGGTAATGCTATCATTGTGTTATTGTTATGTATGCATGGCATGGGACAGCCGATGTTGTCAGCCCGTGGGGGACCCTCACAATTACAAAAGGGCATTAACATAAAATGATATATATATATATATATATATATATATATATATATATATATAGAAGAGAGAGATGGATGGCCATCGATCACCTTTCATCTTTCCCATTCTTTTGATTGGATGCAACAATGATACTGCCAATGGGCAATTGTCAAGTGGTAGGGTCTTCCACCAATCAGTGTTCTATTTCCTAAAGAAATGGAAAAATAAATCATGTTAAATGGTATATATTTCCGTTGGATTATATATATTCTCTCTCTCCCTTTCAAAATAATTATTGTTTTAGATTCTTTCATATTTTTTTAAAAAAAAGAGAAAAAAATCACGTATATACTTATTTAATGATAAACAATGTTATCATTAATAATTTATTAGAATTTGATAGAGATAAAATTGGAAACTATTGTAAAAAAATATCTTGAAAATGTAGAATGACAAATATTTTGAAACATGAAAAATAATCTAAAACTATAAATATTTTGAAACGGAAGTATAATATATAAAAAAAGTGGAATAAAAAAGGATAAAAATAATCGAATGGAAGGGAAATATTAATTCGCATCAGCCTTTTTGTATTCCAATTTCGGAGAAGGATGAATTCCACTAATTTTAGTTCATAAAAAAATTTATTGACATCTGTTTTTTTTTTGTAAAATTTTATTGACATCTGTTTTTATTTTAAACCGTAACCACATGGTATGATATTAAAAAATAAACAATAACTTGGTGGTATAAGATTTAAGTTTTAGTTGAAAAAATCATTACTTTTTATTTTTCTCCAATTTTTTGGGATTTCACTTTATTTAATTAATTTTTTTAAAAGTAGTAATTATTAAGATTTTAAATAAAAAAGATTAAATTTATTATAAAATAAAAATAATATAAAAAGTTTAAATTTGATTAAATTATGATATCTTTTTTTAATGTTACAGTAATTTTAAATTTTTGAAAAAAATGAAAGAATAAAATATAAATAAGTTTTCATAAAAAAACTTAAAAAAATAGAATATTTTAATATTTTTTTTAAAAAAAATGAAGTTAATTTTAATTTGTATTATCCTTTAGCCGTAGTAAATAATATATTTTTGGTAATTTTTATTGGGATAAATAATAGAACTTATTTTTATTAACTTTTATTTTGGTTTTTCTTATATAATTTAAAATTTATTTATTAATTAGTATAATTCAAAATTATTAAATAATTTATTGAAAAAACATTTATATTCAAAATTGAATTAAAATAATAAATTTATTTTTCGATGATATTGTTAATTGGACGATACGAGACGGTTCTGCTCGCACTATGTCATTTATATATGCATACACATATATGCATAAGTATACGATGACACTATGTGCATATATATAATACATACAAGAGAAGAGGGTAAGAAAAGCTGGAAAGAAGGCGGGTTCGGCGGATCCTGTCCATTTCTATGGTTCCATGAGATAATAGATATAATCCCCTAATAAGGCTTTTTGTTAATTTCATAAAAACCCCACCATTTTTATTATTTCTACAAATACCCAAACATTTCAATATTATCAAATACCACTCTATATCTATCCACACCCCCTTTTGGCTTTCATGCGATTCAACATGGTAAGGGCGATTTATCTTTCTTTGAATCCATTAGACATATAAATTTACAAAGAAAGGGGGATTTAATTTGGAAATGAAAAGCCTAATCGTAATTAACCCTAGGGACTTATTTGGTTAATAAACGAAACGATCCGAACTGAATAACGCATAATTGTAATTGAACCGATTTAGATATACAACCGAATTATTATGATTTTTCTAAAATCGAAAAATTGAATACAAACCGAATCAAATAAAAATAAAAATAATAAAAATATATTTTTTTTAAGAAAATGAGTATTTTTATCCTAACCGAATCCGATCTAAATATAACTGAACTGAATCATCGAACGTTTATAATTTTTTTAAAACCGAAATAATCGAACTCGAATATAATTTAATCGAACCCGAACCAAAACCGATTAAGCCACCCCTAATTAACCCTAGTGTATTAGTAGAAATTAGAACATCTATAAACATATTACTAAAAGTGTAAAAGATAATTCCACAAGCAAAAAAAAAACATAAAGATGCTAAAGGATGATCCGTCCATATCTCTCCCTCTTTCTTTCCATCGTTTGTCCCCTCTCTCTGGATCAATCATTCTCACAAATCATAGCTCAAAAGAAATATGATTTTAGATTTTAATATAATGGTTGTAATTTAGAAAGCAGACGAGAGAAAAAAAAAACCCAAAACCCAAAAAAAAAAGTTATAAACTAAGGTTCTAACACTATATGACAATACATCATCATCATCGTCATCATCAAACAAAAGCCCTAATCAGCAACCAACACATTTGTAGTGATGAAGAAGCCTATTGGCTTCCCTGAGACCACTGAAGTAAGCACCATGAGTTGTGGAGTAATGGGTTCTGTGGGTTGCCTCCCCTGCAAACAGAATCTGAAGCTCGTTAACCCTAGTTTGATACGAACCAGAATTACCTCCGCCGAGCTTTGGCAGTGGCTCGGCCATGGCGTCAAGATCATCCCCACTTGATCCGACCGCTACATACGAGTATGAACCTAGAAACAGAGGATCACTCCCCCATTTGCTCTTCAAGACCCTCGTGAACTTCACTCCATCTGTTGCGGAATTCTCATCAGCATGGCCATTGCACAAAGGAACAGGCTTTTTCTCCGTGTTCTTCATCTTCTTCATCACTTCCTTGCCCGTCAAGCAAGTGACCGTAGTGGAAACACCGTCTATGATTTCGTCGTCAGTTAGCTTCTCGAGCTCGAATGCTTCCTTGCCTGCAAACCACGAGAGCAAAACCCGGGAGTTGCTGTGGATTGGGGATATGGTGGCGGTTCTTCTCATCCACCATGGGATTTTCTTGAGCCTGAGCTCTGAATCTGCACGGTCGAACACCAGTTGCAGAGAAGGGAAGTTTCTCTGAGTCATTTCGACGAACAGCTTGTTGACGACTCCAAAGCCGAGCCTTTTGATGGCATCGACCTTGAAATTGGGCAGGGGAGGACTGAACATCCCTGGTTCAGACGAAACACCAGCTTTCAGCACGCCCAAAGACACAGTGACTATAACGTGATCGGCGAAAACGACAGACCCATCAGAGAAATGCAGTTTCACGGGTCGATGATGATCAAACCCGTTCTCCGATATGGCGTTTGGATCGTCAGAGACCTCCTCGTGTGTCAGCCACTCGATCTTGGTGACTTTTCGGTTCAGTTGGATCAGATCCTGAGGAAGAACAGAGGCCAGATGATTGATCACGCTGAGATAGCCTTTGGCTATGGTGATTTCTTCACCAGGAAACATCTGATATTCGCTTTCCGCAGCTAAATCGAGGGTTGAGAGATCATCAGCAGAGGTGTAAGTCCTCTGAGTGTTGCTAAGCATGGCGAAAATGGCTTCCAGGAGAGATTTTCTGCTCCAATTCCCAAACCCCTTGACCTCTTCTCTGCTTTTCACGGACTCCCAGTACGCATCGAACCCTGATTTCAAGAAAGACCCAACACTCCTCCCACTAAATCCATTCCGGGAAGAACAAACCCTAGTGGCAATATCGTAAATTTCAGCTCCGCATCCCAAATCGCCACCGTCTTCAACCGTCTCCTTCCCCTGAGCTAAACCCATCAAAACATTGAACAGACCCGAGATGGGTTCAAGAATAGAGGGATCGAGCTCGAACCCACCTTCTGCGAAGGTTCTGGGTTTATCAATGGCGGAATCCATACACTCCCATGGCTCGTCGGAGACCAGAGACCCGGTCTCATGGGCGATTCTGTAGACAGGGCTCCCGCCAATCCCGTGGATCCATGTGGCACCCATCTCGATCCTTTCGCCGGAGAACTCCGAGGTGTTGATCCTCCCGCCGATTCTGGAGCCACCCTCCACGACGGAGAGCTCGAACATGTCGTTGGAGCGCGTGTAGAGCTTGTTCGCCGCCGTGAGACCGGCCATTCCCGCGCCAATTATCACAATTCTCCGCTTCTTCACCATGGTTGTCAAATTTCTCTGTTGGTGAGCTTCAATCGAACAAAAAAAAGATTTTTTTCCACGATTTTTTTAGTTGGTTGAAGCAATGAGGGGTGAGTGAATGACTGAATGAATGGGAAGAGTTTACTTTGGCAGAACATTTATAAGGGAGGCGGAGAGAGAGAGAGAGAGTTGTGTTAGATTATTTGTTGGTAAATTTACTTTTAATTCTTCGTATAATTTAGTTAATTATATATATATATATATTCAGTCTAATAAAGACAGAGCTATACTTTTTATATATATGATTATGCTTTGCTTATACGGACTTGCTTGTAACCAAAAACACACTCTCTCTCTCTCTCTCTCTCTCTCTCTCTCTCTCTCTCTCTCTCTCTCTGAGTGTGTGTTTTTTTTATCCTACTTTTAGTTTTAGCCTCCCTACATTTACATGAAACAATCTAAATTATTATTAACAGAAAAAATATATATTTGCAAACAAAGTTTTTCAATTGTGGTGGTATCATGATTTAAAAAAAAGGTTAGATGTTTGCATTGCATTATTGATTGGTACGTTACATATTATATATTTTCCTACAAATCATTAATGGGGTTTTAGATTTTCCGTATTATTTTTTATGAAGCAATATGTTTTGTTCATTCACAATAATTTCGACTATGGATTATTATGTGTAGAAATACAAGTACATTATTTTTTGTATTATACATATAATAATATAATATCCTTAGATATAATCTTTTTAGTGTGTGTGTATATATATGTACCCGCTATCTTATAAATAAAAATTAGGATATTAAATATTAAATTTTCAAGGAAAGAATCCAAAGGAAATATTTGAAATGGGATTGAAAATGAATTATTATTATTATTATTGGAAATAAAAAAATGGAGGATATTAATGGTGGGGGCAGAGAAATCACATGTAAAAGGGGACAAAGAAGGGCCCACAAAACCAGAGGCTAAGCCAAAGCGAGTCAGTCGTTCTCTTACACCTTCTTTGATTTCAACCCCTTTGATCCAAACCTCGCCATTATTATTGTTACATCTTATATTTACCCTTTCTAAATGTATTTTTTTGTATACACACACACACACACATATATACACGCATGCATATATGCATACATACCACACATGTAGTGGTATATATTAATAATACTATGATATTGTATCCGATACACAAAGGTGGAATATTTTCAAATCTTTTAATTTCTTTTGCTTTTTGCCTTACGATTTGTAGTTAATCATTACAATAACACCACTAATGATTCGCCAATTCTTAAACCCTAGATATTTTTATTTTTAAATATAACATATATATACTTATTTGCGTGTGTGTATGCTCGTGAATGGATGATGTTTCATGCAGCTTTAACAAAGATTGTATCTCGCAATTCATATTATTTTTTAAATTATTATTGTATCAAAGTATGAAATGAAACTTTTGCACTAATAAGAATCTTCATCAAAGGTAGTGCGGATTCGTAAGCCATCATAGCATTTACTTATTGAAAATGACCCTTTTCGTTGTGTATATATATACATATATATTATACGGTATCCATGGAAAATGTTGAATCTATTTGCACATGTTCTACGTAAAATCTACGAATACCGTCATATATATATACATATACACACATATAACTCGTCGGTTAGTGCGTGTGGACATTGGACAAAACATTGATTAAATCCCGAAATGTCGGAGAAATAAATAAGAAAACAAAAGAGTAAGGACAAAATCTTGCATAAGGCTGTTTGTCGTTTGTGATGAGTTTGCACATCCCGAAGAGGCTCTTTGGATGGGGGATTTTAAAACCGTATTTTTGTGAGATTTTGTGTTATTTATATGCACAAAAAATCCCTAAGAACATTAATAAATTTTTAGATGCACGGTGCAAAAATCTTCTAACAGATATCTGGGAATCGCTTACACCACCCGCGCTGTTTGTCATGTGTAAGCACTAGCTAGGTCTTCGAGGAGTGCACTCCACATATATATATATATATATATATATGTATACACAGATACACACAAGAGTTAGCAATTAGATAACCCTAATGTTAAAAAACAGCAAGACGTCCGACCGCGAAAAGTCAAAACATCTAGCAATCTGCTGTTCTTTACACACACACACATATGTATATGTATGTATGTATGCATGTATATGTATATAGTCGGTTCATGTTATGAAACCAATATGTAGGGTTGGCATAGTGAAGAGAAAAGATGAGAGGAAAAGTCAAAATCTTGAGATCACAAATTCCTATCCTCCCGTGACCCAAAGGCTCTTTTTCCTTGAGCCTCGAGGCCTTTGAAAATGACCCTCTCCTTTAACAATATCACGTGCCATATTCACACACAATTGCATTATTGCATGCAAGCACACTAATAATGGTGCATCTTCACGTTTCTGATAACCTATATATCATATTTTCTCAAGGAACCAACTCGTTATTTAGATCCAATGGTTGATGAATTTCTTTTTTAAGTGTACCATATTATATATATATATATATATATCTATTGCAGATATATGCGAACTAAACCCTATTTGATATTTTGTTGGGACAAAATCTACGAACATTAATGAGTCGGATACCAGACAAGATATCGAAATAATGGAGGGAAGAAATTGACAGAAGGGCGTATTATATATATGGCTGGGGACCAAAAGGGACTTCCCTTGAGCAACGTACATTGTTCTTGAGCCACAACTTGTCTCCTCTCTCCCAAACACACAGTTTTTTACACTCTCACTTTCAGACACAGACACATGTGTATGTACACACACACACACACACACACACAGAGACTACGTACATATATGCGTGTATTCGTTTGTTTATGTAGGGATTCAATTCCTATAAATAAAAAAACCCTACCGAGGCCTCTATGATGCTGTCTTGGGTCTAATGTTAGTACTTTGGGATAAGTCAAAACCCTACACAAGTTGAAGTACTATGAGAGAATCTAGCACAAGATTTTTTTTTTTTTTTTTTTTTTTTCAATTCGGGCGGTCGCTCGTTTAATGGGCGCCCGCTCGTTCAGTTTTCGTTTTCCACAGATAATTCGAGCGGGTCGCCCAAAAAATGGGCGACCGCTCGTCCGTTTTATATTTCTCGCAGAAAGATCGAGCGGGTCGCCCGAAAAACGGGCGAGCGCTCGTCCAGTTTCCATTTCTTGTCGAAAGATC